ACTAATGCCCAAAAAATAACAATTGTAAACCGCTTTGAGACTCAGATCTGCAGTGAAAAGGCGGTATATAAATAAAAACGTACTTACTTACTTCCGCGGTCTATGGGCAGTTTCAAAATGGCCGCAGTTTCAAAAATTCACAGCGTCTCATCTAGACTGGTCCAAAAAAAATCCACCCCCCTCAGCATTGACACATGTGGAACGGAGCTTTGGGCCTAGAGCCGACTTTTGGACCATCCTTTAAAGATGTTTTCGAGCGGTCTGGCAATGCTATATGTTAGCATTGGCTAATTCTTATTCTGGGTCCACCCCCTTCGGCCCGGGGTGGTATCGCAGCATGTCAGCGCACGTCATTTTGGCCACTTTTGAGCCGAAACCCGCCCCCACTGGTTTTTCTCCCGCCAAAAATCAAACAAACAGTGAAGGAGGAGCCAATGGGGTTATGGACATTTATAGACATTGGTCATCCGTCCCAATGCCTCCAATGTATTTTCTTTATATTTTTGCATTTCCTGTTTTCAATTGTGTCTGATTCTCTGATCTGCTGTTCGCGAATCGACAACTTTGCGACGTCCTCCGAAGACGGCTGCTGTTGTTCGGGTCTGTGCGCATAAATACATTGGATTAAATATAAATTCAATTGAAAATCTAGCCTGAGCTGCTTTTCATAAAAACAGACGTAGGCGATGCATCACACACAACGACCCCACACGTCAATGGGAAAGGTTGCCGTGTTGTTTGGACCCGTGTCTGCTGAGTTTTTACAGCCTTTTGTCCGTACATGAATTGTCAGAGCCTGTATTGTCTCCTGTAAATGCATTCTAAGGTTTATAGCTATACATTTTGACTTTGTTTTTCTTCTTCTGACGGTTGCCTTGTCGGTGGAGGTGTGTGTGCATATACAGTATCTCCCAGGGTCCAGGTCCCATGTGTGGGGACCCCTATGACAGACGCAGGTCCCAAAAGGGGGGGTTCCCAGGGGCCTGCAGAGGAACGACAGCTCTGTTTTAAATAAAGGACATTCCACATTCAGCCCTCGCAGGCACAGAACGAGGTTTTTTAGCCTCGGGTCAAACTGTATTATTCACTTCCTTGTTAGTGGAGCTGGCAATTTGTCGCTTTGGGGAAGAGTCCATGACATGATGCAGTCCAGTCCAGGTCCACACATTATCAGTCTTGGGATCACCGGAATACTGGGACCGGGTTTCTGAAGCGCAGTCGTTCTCATTCACAAAAGTCTAATCGCTGATGTGTTTTTGAAGAACAGGCCTAGAAGACACAAAGCAACTTCACTTCTCAAGTTAAAGGAGCTATACCTGTTTCTGCAAGGTCTGAATGTTTAGCTCCGCTCCCTACGCTCTCATCCCACGGAGCCATCTTTTATTTGCGATCTATATGCTAGCATTAGTATTAGTGCAACACATCAGTCTCATTGACACAAGATTAATATCACCACATACAACATCTTCTCTCTCTCCTCTCTTTTATCTCTCTTCTCTCTCTCTCCCCTCTTTCCCTCCCCTCTCTCGCCTTCCTCCTTCTCTCCAACCCCTCTTCTCCTCTCTCCTCTCTCTCTACGCTCTCCTCTCTCCCCACTCTCCGCAGCAGCTAATACCTCTTCTCTCTCCTTGCTCCTCTCTCTCCACTCCCCCCTCTTTCCTCTCCGATCTCTCTCTCTCTTTTCTCTCTCTCCTCTCTCCTTTCTTTGCCCTCCTCTCTCCCCTCTCCCCTCTCTCTCCTCTTTTTTCTCTCCCCTCTTTCTCCTCTCTCTCCTGTCTTCCTACTCTCTTTACTCTCCTCTCCCCTCTCTTTCCTACCTGCTCTCTCTCCTCTCTCTACTCTCTCTAATCTCTCTTCTCTCTTTCCTCTCTCTAATCTCTCTTTCCTCTCTCTCCTCTCTCTCCTCTCTCTTCTCTCTCTTCTCTCTCTAATCTCTCTTCTCTCTTTCCTCTCTCTAATCTCTCTTCTCTCTTTCCTCTCTCTAATCTCTCTTCTCTCTTTCCTCTCTTTCCTCTCTCTCCTCTCTCTCCTCTCTCTTCTCTCTCTAATCTCTCTTCTCTCTTTCCTCTCTCTAATCTCTCTTCTCTCTTTCCTCTCTCTCCTCTCTCTACTCTCTCTTCTCTCTCTAATCTCTCTTCTCTCTTTCCTCTCTCTCCTCTCTCTAATCTCTCTTCTCTCTCTCCTCTCTCTTCTCTCTCTAATCTCTCTTCTCTCTTTCCTCTCTCTCCTCTCTCTTCTCTCTGTAATCTCTCTTCTCTCTTTCCTCTCTCTACTCTCCTCTCTCTGCTCCCTCCCTCCCCTCTCTCTCCTCTCTTTTGTTGCTCCTCTCTCTACTCTCTCCTCTCTCCTTTCTTCGCTCTCCTCTCTCCCCTCTCTCCTCCTCTCCTCTCACCTGCTCTCACCTCTCTACCCTCTCTCCTCCTCTCCTCTCCTTTCCCCCCCTCTCCTCTCTCTCTCCTCCTCTCTCCTCTAACAGCTAATACCTCTCTCCTCCTCTCCTCTCCTCTCTCTCTCCTCCCCCACTCTCTCTCTCTCTCTCTCCTCTCCTCCTCCTCTCTCTCTCTCCTCTCTCCCCCCCTCTCTCTCTCCTCTCTCTCTCCTCTCTCTCTCCTCCTCTCCTCTCCTCTCTCTCTCCTCTCTCTCTCCTCTCTCTCTCCTCCTCTCCTCTCCCCCTCTCTCCCCCTCTCCTCTCTCTCTCCTCCTCTCTCCTCTGCAGCTAACACCTCTCCTCTCTCCATAAATCCTCAGCCCGGTGATCACATCTGTAATTATTCTCTGACTTCCTGCCACTCTGCGCCATCCAGAATATTGTTTTAACGCCCGCCGTCGTTAAAACCTTTCACAATAAAACAAGACACGGAGAATTTCACTGCGTCTACAAATGTTTGAAAACGCCAATAACCTTTGCTCGCGCAGTTAAGATTTATTGCCTCCTGCCAGTTTCAGAAGCCGGGCGTTGGTTTATGGGTTTGGGGACTGTGTTTAAAATGCGCTGGGTTTTGTGTGTTGATAAAGAGCGCTGCTGGCCTCGCACAGTGAATAAAACATAAGCAGAAGACTGAGGAGTTGTCAAAACCCGCTCCGGGCCTGACGAGGATGTCAATTTATGTTGAGTGGAGCGGCGTCCAGGTAGCAGCGAGTGTTCACCATTAATATTTAATTCAAAAGGAGGATTTGCTTTCCCTGGATTTAAAGCCATTGTGGACCGGCTGTAAACGTAGAGGCGCAGGTGACAGTCGCTGTAATGAGGCGGGCGATTTGTGCTCGCAGCGAGATACATTCATACCAATGTTAAACTGCTTTATTTGCAAATAAAAAGCTAGCAAAATCTCTGCAGTAAATGTCGGAGTGAATACCTGTCTCACTGTAACAGATTGTAGATAGATAGATAGATACTTTATTGATCCCCGTCGGAGAAACTCAGGTGTCCAGTAGCAGCAAAAATAAAATGTATCGTTCTAAAAAGCTAATAATAGTAATAATCAGCAACATTACTTCAGGTCACAGCAGCAGAGGTGGAGGAGCTTGGTTCGGACCATTTTCTCTGCTCTGGTCCAAAGTAAAATGCTTAAATGCTTCATTAGCATTTTTCAAAAAGTTAGCATTCCTCCAGTGGATTTTCCCCTGATCCGCATGGCCCGGTCCATGAATCCTCTGCTCCGGTGTGGGCCAGTGCAAAACCATGAAGAGGGGAGAAAAAAGCAAGAAATATAACAATCGTAAGATACAAAACAACAACTGTTTAAGTAAGTAATCTTTATTTATATAGCGCCTTTCACAGACCAGAGTCACAAAGCGGTTTACAATTGTTATTTTTGGGCATTAGTCTCTCACTCCACACAGAGATGGGAACGGGGCCAGTACAGAAGGCGCATGCCAGAACGATTGTACATGTTTTTAGTTGTAGGGGAAACCGGAGTACCTGGAGGAAACCTATGCAGACACGGGGAGAACATGCAAACTCCACTCAGAGAGACCCTGTTACGACCGGGATTCGAACCCAGGACCCTCTTGCTGAGAAGCGAGAGTGCTATCCACTCAGCCACCGTGCCGCATTCCTCCAGTGGATTTTCTCCTGATCTGCATGACCCGGTCCAGGAATCCTCTCTGCTCTGGTCTGGACCAGTGTAAAACCATGAACACTAAACTGCAGCTCAGAACCTCCGTTGCCTTCTATAGCATTAGCATTAGCAGCACTCGGCGTTTGATGGTTGGCTGTGTTTACTCTGGTGCACCCTTGGCCTCGGTCCCGCGGCACACGGAGGAGATTGCTGAGTGGATTCCCCGGTCCACATTAACCCTGCTCACCTGCTGCAGTTATCAGCACTTTTCTTTACAACCTGAAACATTTTTCACCTCTTAAAACCTCAGCGCCAATTTCTGCATCAGCTCGAGTTTGTCTTTCAATCATCTTCAAGAAACCAGAGAGAGAGACCAGAGAGAGACCAGAGAGAGACCAGAGAGAGACCAGAGAGAGACCAGAGAGAGGCCAAAGAGAGACTAGACAGAGAGACAAGAGAGAGACCAGAAAGAGAGAAGGACCAGCGAGAGAGAGGCCAAAGAGAGGAGAGAGGCTAAAGAGACTAGACAGAGAGACAAGTGAGAGACCAGAGAGAGAGAGAGAGACCAGAGAGACTAGAGAGACGCCAAAGAGAGACTAGAGAGAGAGGCCAGAGAGAGACTAGAGAGAGAGGCCAGAGAGAGATTAGAGAGAGAGGCCAGAGAGAGATTAGAGAGAGACCAGAGAGAGACCAGAAAGAATATATTGACAGCTCCTGCCATTCATTAATACACATTGTCCTGTCCAAATTCATGGATAGTTACTAAACAATGACAATTCAGAACAACAAAAAGTGCATGTGTCCCAGAACCAGACCAAACCAGACCAAACCTGACATACAAGGACCAAGAGTGCCACCACTGAACGACCTTTGGGAAGGTCTCTGCGTCCACACGAGCAGGTCACTTTGAGTCTGAGGCCTTCACTCTCCGTCTGTTTA